GATACATTTGAAAGTATTTGTAAACCTCTTCAGAGTCACTGTGCACAGGATTAAAAATGTATCCACGGAAACGCCAACAAAGAATAAACAATCTTGCTGCCTCTCCTTCGAGGTCTGGCCGGCCACTCACTTCAAGAGGTAAGCCTGATATGACACGATCCATTGGTGCCTCATCGGTCCAAAGGACATTACAGGAAAACTCCGACCTACATGCAAAAATTAAACAAACTGAAGAAGAGAAGCTTCAACTGGAGGAGAAGTGCAGACAATTGGAAGCACGAAATCAAGAGCTGGAAAAACAACAGCAACGCCAGCCTTACACAAAAATTATTAGTGAGGCCTGGGAAGGAAAGTTTGGTGAAGCACGACAGAAGATTTTGTTCCTGATGAAGGAAAACAAGACAAAGAGTGCTGAATTAAAAGAAACGTCTGCCCAGCTTCAACGCGCGAATGCTACTATTGGGGAGATGCAAAGGGATCTCCAAAACATGGAGCAAAAGAATCAGGCGCTCCAAGGAATGCTTAATGAAGCTATGGAACAAACTGCACAAATCCTCGGACAGAAAAAGGAAGGGGTCACACAAATGCAGGACCAACTCAAAGGCATAAAGAAAAAATTCGAAGTGCTGAAAGTCAGGCTGGATGAAACAGAGTGCAAAAATAAAGAGCTTCTTCAAGAGAAAGAGCAACAGGAAGAAGAAAAAAAACGTATTCTCCAGGACTTGGAGAGAAGAAATCTACAACTGAACGAATTTTGTAATACAACGTTGTTGAACTCAGACAACTTGAAGCGCGAAAACGCTGAAATGCTTGCGCAAAAGCAGCAACAGGAGAAAATAAATGAAGACCTGCAGCGTAAGCTTCAAGAAATCACAAGAAGAAATGAGCAGTTAGAAAAGATGCACAAGGAAAAACAACAGCAAAATACAGACAAGCGCAATCTATTAAAAGAAATGGAGCAAAGATGCCAGAAACTTGAGAAGGAAGTTGAAGAAACAACCGATCAGCTGAGAACCCTCATCCTAGAGAAAAAAGTGGTCGTGGAAAAGCTCATGGAAAAGAAGAAAAAACGTTTCCGCTTCTTCTGGAGGAGGGACACTCCTGCTTTTTCTACTTTTTCTATTTTTTCTACTGCTGACGTCACCTCGTCTCCCTCCACCTCTGTTCCATCTTAATTTTCACCTCTCCTCTCCCCTTCTCTCCTAACACTTCTTCCCTCTCTCCTTCATCTTTTTTCACCCCAACCAGTCCCGGCAGTTGACTGCCCCTCGTGAGCCTGGTTCTGCCGGAAGTTTCTGCCCGTTTAAAGGCAGTTTTTCTTCCCCACTGTCGCCTAGTGCTTGCTCAGAGGGGATTGTTGGGGTTTTCTCTTTTCTTTTTTTTCCCTTCTTATTACCATTTTCCTTTATTTACCGATTTGTTTTGTTTACTTTTCTTTTACGTTGTTTCTTTATTTACTTGTTTAACTTTTTTTCAACTTATGTAATAAACTAATAAACCAATTGAATTTATCCTCTGCGTATTTTACATCTAATCTTTAAAGAATATTTCCAAAACATTTTCAAACATCACGATCTGTCTTTTGTTTGCTTGTTAAAACCCCGTAAATGGTGAAGTAAAAACCCTGTGATATGGTTTAAAACATCAAAATAGACTAAACAACTAGTCTAAAACTAAGAGACACAGGATAAAGTTGGTGTGAAGGTTTCAGTCTGTGAAATCTAAACAAGGATGCTACTAAGATATTGTTCACAACTTTGTCCAAAACTTACATCCCATGTTTTGATGAAGGTAGAGGTGTCTTCGTACAAATAGGCAGAGAGGGCATGAAGCACACCAGCACTTTGGGCATGGATATCAGCTTGTTCCTACATCACAAGAAAATTTTTTATTTTAAATTATTGGCTAACCTAGTCAAGAATGGTAATTAAAATTGAAAAATTGATCAAATTAAAGCTCAAAAAACAAGACAAAAACTCACTAACCTGGAGATTATAGCTTCTGAAGAGCTGAGACAGGACATCAGACACGTTCCCTGTCCAAACAGCTTTCTTTCTGAATAAACTCTGGAGCCAGGGAGCATGTTGGTCCAACAGCATAAAAGTGGTTCTTCAGGTGGAGGTTTGTAATCCTGTGGAATTCTGCACAGATCTGAACACACAGGATACATTTGTGTTGACAAGTTTCAATTAGTCTATAAATCTTTGCAAAATACATCAAAATCCTTACACTCCAAAGGCATAATTTGTTCAGACAGGCCAGATAACAGGAGTTGATATAAAATACATCTTGTTAGATACATCTATATACATTCTTACCTGGGACTGGGATTTCAGAGTAGGCCAGCAATCCAGGATCTGACCTACTGGTAGGTCATCATTGATGATCTCTTTGCATTGCAAGGCCAAAGTTGTGAGCATCAGCTTTGTAATCAGGATTCTTTTCACTTTTCTCGACTTCATCTACAATCTGTAGTCTTAGCTGGTCAAGGTAAACAGCATCTTCACCCCTGAAAATTTACTTCTGCCCTGGCATGGACATAACAGTAAAACACAGAAGACAAGACAGACTACACAGAGAACAGAAAAGACACACAACCCAGGAGACACAGATGAAACATAACCAGCCCAGAACTCAACTAAACCTTAACTAATAATAACAACAATACAAGAACTTCACCTCATTTCAATATAACATAAGAAAGCAAAAATACAAAATAAACTCAAAATGCTGTGTCACAGACCCAGCCCCTGACAGATAAAAAACTAAGTCTTTCACTAATGAACACTGGGCATCAGAATAAAATAAAACGAAAAAATAACTGTTTGGTAAAAATATTATTGATGGATTCACCCTTAAGCTAACCTAAAATAGACCAGGCACAACAATTTTACAGTTCAGAAGATTCTACATTTCAACTTAGTATACATAACTATTTGCAATGTAAACCAAGTTCTACCGCGTAATTATGTAATGATTATTCACTGCTTTTGTAAGTATGTCCTGTGCCTACAATTTTGCTGCCCCAGTTTTAATATGTACAACTCCAGAGAACTAAACGTAAGTTTCAAAGTTCCACCAGTTAGCAAATGGGCTAGCCAATATCAATATCCACGTATGCGCTAAGTGTGAAGCAGCGCAGCAGTGCATATTGATTCAACAATTTAACCACAAGTCAGTTTATAATCTGCAAATCCAGAAACGCCTTCTAAAGACTTCTTTTAAAATAGTAAGAGATTAGAAAAGTTATTAATACATTATTAGTCCCAGGGACTAATAATGTGTTATACTAAATATGAGCTTATTAGCATAATTCATGCAAAACACTTTGGGGCCAAGCCGACATGGATAAAACGACGCATGCATGTAATTCTTAAATGGCCTGCTAGAGTTGTACATTTATGACGATAAAAACCCATATTACAACGGAGAACTATAGTTTCAGAAAAAATAAAACTTACCACAAAAGCGCTCCTGAAGATGCTGCAAAGGCGGTAAATGCAGCTAGCCAAGTGCAGAGCGTTAGCTGTTCCAGTTCAAAAGTCCGTAACATACCATAGCATGCCCTCCTTTATCCAGCGTCAAAGGCAATGCCGCAAAAAACCCCTTGACAAATGTTTTTATTTCTGTTCGGATATTAACGTTCCACAAGTTTCTTTCGGAGTAATGAGCGGGCATTCGCACTCGAAGCGAGGAATCCAAGATGGTTGCCAGCACTTCATAAAGAAACAGGTGGCGCACGTAGGTACGTACGTACGTAGGCACGTAAGTGACGTCAGTGTTAAAACTCAAATTATTTGAGCGCAATGCTAGAAACTAATCAATATATTCAAGTACTGATAACTTGAAAAAACAAACTTGTTCAAACTACTCAAAAAAATAAATGTGTATGAACTTATAACAGGTTTTTAAGTAGTTGGAACTCATTTCATTTATCAAACTATTACTATTCGGTCTTACAGTGTACCCGTGACCCACACATAAATATAATTCATATTTAGTTCAATATTACCTTCAACATAGTAAGCAGGAAGAGATAAATACATATAATTTGGCATACCATCATAGTACCCAACTTACTTGACAGTAAACTTTTATAAGTAAATGTTACAGAGCAACTTAAACTAATCACAGGGCACGTTTGACTTTCAAGCCAAGTATCTCCCAGGCCTCCACCCTAGAAGCCCCCCCCTCACCATGCCCACTGCCTTCTTAAAAAATACCCAGACACCCCGCTGGCTCTGAATCAGAAGAGTGAGCGAGAGAGCTGGCATTAGTCAACATTCTCACTTAGATTTCTCCCCACTGATGCGCCACCCACTCCTATGAATGCCAAACAGTTCCTTTATTATCTCAGCATTTACATGATTTTCGGGAGCAGCTTAAGCTTTATTCCTCCACCCATCCTTCTCCTTCCTTTCCGTCCCCCCCCTATTTGTGTCTTTCCCTTTCTGTTCTATCAAAGTGCTGTATCATTACGCCTGGGATAATCCTGATCCTCTCGCCCCTCCCGCCTCCTCCAAGAGATGAGCCTCACCCTTCAGTTTCTTCTGTACAGAGTGTTCAGGGACTTGGAGGGGTGGTTGTGTTGTGTGTGGGGGGGGGGGGGGGGGTTTCAGAGGGGCCAGGATGTCTTTTTCTTGTGCTACTGCAAAATGATGATGAAACCATATGGAGGCTGGTGGTGGTGAGGTTTGCAGGGGGTGGGGGTGGGGTTACGCAGCAGCGTAAATGACTTCTTAGCAGTGCAGCGAGATGTGAAGGACAGACTGACGTGAGACGGTGTGGCGAGCAAACTAATGAGCTACACATTTCACGCCGAGAAAGAAAAGGAAAGAGGAGAGGGAGGGTGAGCGTGGTGAGAGAGAGAGAGAGGAGAGATGGAGCAAGAGGGGTGAGATGATGACAGAGATAGAGGGAGATGCAAGGAGGAGGAGAAGGAGGGAGGAGAAGGTGGGAGAGGGGTGGAGGAGGAATGATGGGGGGAAAACGAGAGAGGGCGAAGCCTTACATTTGCAAAGTTGGCAGAAAAAAAGAGGGAGACAAAAGAAAGACAGCGAGGAAGTACGAGAGGGGAGAGGATAAAGAGTGACATGAAAAATGACCTTTCCCTGCCAGCTTCTCTCATCTATCCTTGCCATGACGATCAACAATAAAGTTAGCATCACTGAAATATTACAAGGATACACAATCTCACAGGCTGCTCATACCTTTCATCTTTTTTCATTTTGACTTTCAGAGATTTCCATTTCATTTGACTGCAAATGAAATTTGTGTTTCATGCAGAAAAAGTTCCAAAGCGATGCATAGTGGGCTATTAGTGTAGCGCTGATATATTGCTCCCAGATGGACTTAAAGATCAGATACCAGCTAGTCAGCAAATTCCACATCTAATGAGATACAGTGCTTCATTGTAGGTAATTAATCAACAATACATTTGTTGTCTGTGAGACAAATGAAACATCACGGAGCATTACTTTTGCATATGAGAATGAAATCTCCAAAATTTAATTTCCCTGCAGATGAAGAAGGTAAAGTTTCCATTATGAACAATCCACACAATATATTAGTTGTAAAACTATACTCACAGGCTCATGTAGAATCCAGTTACATTTACTTTGAGAGCACAGAATAAGGTGATCATGTGCTTTACTAGCACAGAGTTTAAAATAAACACCAATTCTCTGCACCAGCTCTTGAAACTTGATCATTTTCAAAGGAATGCAAGTAGCAGCAAGATTCAGCAGCACATTTTGGGGCTTTTTCGTCTTCTACACCGGACAAAACTTCCTTGTCCCTTCTCTCCTTCATGGCTTTCTGTAGTGCCAGTCATTCAGTATCTGGTGAGATGGCTTTATGAAGATGCCTGTGGTCCTCTGCTGAATGCAGGCTTGCATCCAGCTCATCTGAGTCACTTCCAGTGTTTGTTCTGGGCCAGCCCTCCCACCACTCTACAGTCCCTCAGCGCATCAAAATTTAAAGCACAGAGCACAGATAAAATATACTAAAACAAAAATACAGAGTGAGAGTCCAGCCTATTCTTGGAGTGAGCTAACAGAAGGCTGTGTAAGAAAACAAAGCCAGAAAGGCTTGAGGATCACAGTCTTTCTAATGAAAGAGAAATGTAGCAAGTTAGCATAATGCTGAGGATGTACGATGTAAAATAATCACAAGGGTAACATCTGCATTACTTTATTCACCCCACATGGTCAGAGACAAATCAGAAAATGATATGACTTATTGTATAATTTCAGTCACAAAAGCAACATACCCAAAAGTAAACATCTTCACATGCTAAACAGTTTCCACAGCTTCACAGAACTGCCAGCAACTGTAGTCTTGCTAACTTGTAGTCTTGGCCACGAGTTGAATGCTGAGGTATGTTAGTGCGTAAGTAATACAGTACCAACAGCACCCAACTGTGTTTGCAGCACGATCAGTACATTTTGAGGCTCAGCAGTGGTTAACACGTTTAAATATACAGGTGTCTGAGTAAAACCAGGCTCACATTTATCATCAGTGAAGCAGAGCTTGATTTTTGATTGTGATGATGTTCACGTTCATGCTTCCCATGTAAGGAATACATAGGCTTCATATATCAGTGTGATTGACTTCTCACACTTATACCTTTTAATTGTCATCATGATAATGAGCTGTAACTTAGGCCCTGTTGATCAGCTATGTGTTTTCAGGTGCTCTGTTACCATCGCTGTCTCCATAGTATAATTGGTTCATCCTAACTAGAGGTTAAAAAGGGCTAATGTGTGAATAATCAGCTTTTCCTCTCTCTCTGTCTCTATTTATCTCTCTCTACCCCCCTGTGCTATGCTGATATATTATGCCATTTAAGTCTGCCTCTTTTCCTCTTTTAGTTGAGATAAGAGTTCATTTCCACTGCCTCTTCTGCTTCTCTCATTATTGTAAAAGTCCATCTTTTCATGCCAAGGAGCCTGGCTAAGAAGCAAATTGCTTGTCCTGCTAATACTTTATTAGTGGCTTCTAGTGTGCACGTACTCCTTCAAACTCAGTCGGACTCAGTCATTCACTCAATCAATCACACTTGCTCCCTTCAGCTCGCCCAACTATCTGGTGACCACTTGCGCTAAAAATGGACACACACAATCAGGCCTGAGCAAAAAAACAAGCTGCAAAAAACTGCTGCTATAGCTCCATACCATTTGTTCAGGTTTGCATATGCATAACCAACTAACCACATGATGTTAGCTTGTCTACTATTTTGAATCATGGTGACGATGCAAGATCGGGTGAATAAGGCCTCAGTCACACAAACATAGAGACTGGTCCGTGAGCATCTGATGACTACTAATCTTAACAAAGTTGTGCATTCCCTAAAAGGTTGGCAAAAACCTACTTGTGATTGCTTGGGTTGCTAGCTGATTGCCGAGGCCATAGTTTAGAAGGAAGTAATGAGCTTGTGTACAAACACTTGTAGTGAAGCTGTAAAAAGGGTGACACAAACTGAAAGTGGAAACCATACACCTTCAAAAAGTTGCGACTCAGTTGCAGCCAATGTGTTTTTTTTAAAGTGCAACTTTTACTTTGAAGGCAGACCTTCTCCATTTCCAGTTTGTGTCACATTTTTAATACCGCTTGGCTAGTAGCTAGAGACTGCTTAGAGGGAAACGTTAAAAAGTAGAAGCAACAGTGGAAATCTGCTAGCAACCACAGCAAACCTATACTTGTGCCTTTAACCTGGGTGCTGGACACCAAAGCTAAGTCTTGTCAGAAGATTCGACAGGATAGGAAAAAGTAACAGATTTTATTGAATTAAGAAGTATTATGGGATTGTATTAAGTTGTGACAGGATCTCACTTCTTTGAATTTCAGCTGGTAGATGAACATCAGCTTCTTGAGGGAAACATGTAGTTTGTCCTTTTTCCATTTTCTCTCAGCATTTCTGCATTGCCTCTTTAAACCAAGGAAACCAAGAAAATATAGCAGTTTTCAGTTTTCAAGCTACAGTATTCAGAAATTTCGAGCATAAGCTATTAAAAGTGCCTACAAAGACATCCACAGCGACATCACATTTGCTGCTTATGAAAGCTGTTGCGTAAATGCGGAAAATTATACAAAAATGAGCAACAAAGCTACATTTTAGTGCTTGGGAGCGAATCACTGTAGATGGGTTGGATCTGGAGCAGCACAGCATTGTGGTCTGAGACAACAAAGTCCATTAAGCTTACAATCATGCACATATATATGACGGTGCTCCACATGTTGATTCAGACTGAAAGACTCCAAAATTTTGATAAAGTCAGA